GTGTGACACCCTGCAGATCAGATAATCCTGTCTGGGAGCATGGCTGAGGATGGAGTTTATTGGCTGCTACAGGTCAGTACTCTATGACCTGATATATCTATTAACTGTCTGTTAGTGCCCCATCTCTGTCAGTGCTGCCAGGCTCCAATCATTACAATCCTGTAGGATTTGCCAAACTAATGTCTCTGTTAACCACACAGTGGATATCTGCATTTGTAAACTGTTGTATGCCAGTGTCTGTGTGTGTCATAATGTGCAACACTCAGTGTTTGTGTGACAGTGTTTATGCCAGGATCTGTGCCAGTGTGTGTTTCAGTTAGTACTTGTGACAGTAAGTTCTTGTGTCAATCTATTTTTGTAAAGAATGTATTTACAAGAAAAAAATAAGTTGACATGTTTTGTATCTAACAAAGGCGAGATACCAGAAAATATTATGAGTAGGCATACTGAATTATATCCTTTTGCAAGAATTATATTTTATGTTCAGTGAGTTAAAGGGACATTATAAGCACCAAGACCACTTTATCTCATTGATATTTGCAGTGTCCCTGTTCTCTCATTGTAGTTTTTGAGAAACTATAATGTTTATATTAAAGGGTTAAGACTGCCTCTAGTGGCTGTCTACCAATCAGCCACTAGAGGTGCTTCTTTGGAGTTTTACAGAGTTTGACTCCAAGAAATGATCCTGAACATCCTCATTCTTAGCATGAGGACGTCCAGCGTGTTTGAAATTCCAAGAGGAAAGCATTGAGGTTTACCGTGAATGCTCATTAGGTCCCCACTAATAAGTTCATGTCAGTGGAGGAAGAACCTGACCCAGTGTCGAGGGACATTAGAGCTGGAAATGGGTAAGTGTAAAAAGCATATTTGAACCCTGTTTTTGCCACTGGGGGCCTCTGGGTGAGTTGAGGGGAGGCAGTGCAGAAGGTACTATAATGTTAGGAATACAGTTTTGCATTCCTAACACTATAGTTTTCCTTTAAGCATAATATACATAGTATAAACTCACTGTAATGCTAATGCCAAATCAGAAACTTTTCATTTATTGAGAAATATGAATAAGTCTGAGGAAGTTGTAAATTGTAGTCCGTAATACAAACCATGTTTTGGAAGTATCTTCTGTTTTTATTTTCATTACACTCAGTCTGTGTATTTATTTCATTTTGGAAATATTCCTGCTTTTGAAATGCTAAGTTCTAGGGACAAACTGTGCTGCCTTGAATATTTTTACTTAGTACAAACAATTTTAGAGAACTCAAAATTACATTATTATTATTTCCAGGAACTATTTGATTGGTTAAAGTGGAAATAAAACTCTGAGTAATGCTAGCTGCTTTATTATTATTATTATTATTATTATTATTATTTTTTTTTTGCTTATGTTATCTTTGCAGTGACTTTGCAGTTTATTTCTATGATTTTAGGGAATATTGATGTTTACAAACCCAGTGAAACAGGTAAAAGGATTCCATGTACTTTGATTTAGAATTAGACATGACATGTTAATATAAATGTCTTGTAACTTGCAGCAAACTCAATGAAGACACAAACTCAGTTAATCCTCTGAATTCAAATCAAGGTTGTTGTTTCTGGTTCTCAAAAAGTATCCAGGTATCATGAGCATGCACGATGTGTGTAACAGGTAAAGCTAGGCACACCCAAACAGAAAGTCAATTGCCCTCTGTAAGGTTTAATATGAGCTTGACTAACATTCCTTCACTGAAAGAGTTAATGTGAAACTGGCTAACATTCCAGCACTGAAAGGATTAATGTACTAATCTGCTTTGTAGTTCTCAGTATGCCATTTCTTGTTATTGATTAATGTACATTGCAAGGACATTACATGCGTAGTTTTGCATCTGACCATGCCACAACATCACATACATAGTCTTGGCACACGACCATCCCTATACCCTCTACATAAGTTTTATATCAATGATTTGTTGTATGCTTTTACCATGGTCTTTGCAAAAGCTTTACATGCTGTTATTAAAGGACCACTATAGTGCCAGGAAAACAAACTCGTTTTCCTGGCACTATAGTGCCCTGAGGGTGCCCCCTTCCTCAGGGTCCCACTCCCGTGGCGCTGAAGGGGGAGGAAGGGGTTAATCCCGGCGCTGGGACTCTCCTCCCTCTTCTGACGTCCCTGGCTGAATGCGCATGCACGGCAAGAGCCGCGCGTGCATTCAGCCAGTCCATAGGAAAGCATTACTCATCTTTTCTGATTTCTGCATAACATACCATAATATTAGAGGGTTGAAATATAAACAAAAAATCCAAAATAATACATATCAAGTTTCTCCTAAACAACTTGGGAAGGGGAAGCATAACTGATGCCCATGCCTAGTGGGCTGGATTAAAATTGATATTAATGTTGACTTTCCCTCCCTTCCACCCTAGTTTGAGACGTTTGTGGTTTGGTGTTGTGATGTGTGTTTTTGTTTTGTCTCAGTTTGGTGGTTTCCTGGACAGCGCAGAGGGAAAAAAGGACAAAACGAAGAGTCACTTTATAGAGATGACAGCCTGCACAGGAGCTAATGGCAAGTGCCGGCTGTTTAGGCTCTTTAGAAAAGGTTGGAGAACTGTCTGTTGGGCATCTGCTCATCAGCTGACAGGGTTCTGGATAATGTTAAAGATTGATATAAAGCTGTGGCCATTGCCCTTATCCACTAAAGAAGTGGTGTGTTATTGGGGGACAACAATGGTAATATGTGTGATGGGTCAGCAGGCATGCTCTGTGTGGCTCTTGCTCATAAACACTAGCCTTCACACATGACTCATATCTAATTTCTGTACAAAAGGAAGCCACCTAATTTCTACCACAGGTTGCATCTGTATTTCCTAACCGGGGAGAGATACTGCCTAGAATTGATCATAAAGAAGTCAAATGATATGTCAAATCAAAAATTCAAGAAACAATACAAAAACTATGATATTTAATTGATTTCCAATAACAGTAGCAATGTAGCATAGTTTAAAACATGCCTGCATAAGGACAAGTTGAACAATGAATGCAAATTCATACAGAAAGGCACAAGAGCACATAAAAGTAAATAACTACATCTATTGATATAATAATGTAGTGCTGAAAAACTAAAAAACCTTTAATGAATTCCTGTAGGCATGGATTTCATGAGCCTTTTAAATTGTACTGGATCCATAAATATGTTATATAATTATACTTATATTGTATATCTCTCACCATGTCTATACCAATATCACACGTTCTCTATATACTGCAGTGTTCATTTTGTTGAATGACAATCTTAGTCAACTAAAATGTTTGAGATTTAGTCGACTAAAACTATACTAAAACTAAAACAATTCAGATGACTAAAATACGACTAAAACTAAAATGGCATTTTAGTCAAAAGACTATGACTAAAACTAAATTGAAATTTGCTGCCAAAATTAACACTGCACAGAGGGGATGTGGAAGAAGCAAAATAGATAAACCAGGGCTTGGACGAGAGATACCCAGAGGGACTGGAAGGACACAGAGAGACACAGAGGGGCTGGGGAAGGGGCAAAAGAGACAGATAGAGGTTTTAACTAAACCTATTACATTTTAGTCGTGTCGACTAAAATCTCCAGTAGACTTAGTCGACTAAAATCTACTGGAGATTTAGTCGACTAAAAATAAAACAATTCAAATGACTAAAATACAACTAAAACTAAAATGGCTTTTTAGTCAATAAATTATGACTAAAACTAAATTGAAATTTGCAGCCAAAATTAACACTGACATACTTCCTCAGTTAATTTCTTTTCAACTAGAACACCCATCTTATCCTTCCAGTTTATCACCACGGAATGGATTCTCTTAAAGGTCCTATTATGTCCATCTGTATCTTTTTGTAGAGGCAAGCAAGGTAAACTACAATCCAACACACATCACAACAGTCTACAATCCAACCTTCATGACTGTATTCTAGAAAAATGTTTAGTACCTAGGGTGGTTAGAGCTTTGAGCAGACTGTGAACACTACAGTCTGTGGATATTATACCTGGATACAAATACTTTCATGTGGGTAGTATGCCTGTATACAACTATTTTTCAATCTCTAGAAATATCATCACAGATATTCTGAAGCAGAGTATGTCACCATTTTTATCCATCTGTAGGTAACAATTTCTGTCTATTTTACTCACTTCCTCTGTATGTGAAAATATCTTATTTCTGCTTTAATGTTAGTATTTTAAGACCTGTCGTAAATGTAACAAGAGAAGAGCTTGTTCACTCGACTTCTCAGTTTGTACTACAAAATATTGTAAATTATTATCTATATTTCAACTTAACTGAGAATATTAGTGATTAGTGTGTTTCAATTTAACTTGACAGATGCCACTATTAGTTGATAATGGTTTCCAGACATTCAATTATTGAACTTGTACATTTGGGAATACCTCTGCTAGTCTATTTTAAAATAGTTTATTTTTTTATTTGGAAGTAGACATCTGAGCACATAGAAGTATGAGCATTGTAGGAAACAACATATTTTATTTAAGCTTTCCATGTTCTGTTTCAGGATTATTTATGAGTGCTAGCAAGTTTGGAGACAATTCGGTGCACAGATCTCTGCATGTATACATGTTTGAAATAACTTTGCCAGAGTCCATAAACCGGCCACAAGCCTGAGTAAGTAGAATAAACATGAAACATACATTCTGGGATCCATTAACCCCTTACTGACATTAGGGCATGCAATGCCGTCCTACAAAAAAGGAGGTCTGTAAAGACGTTTGGACGGCATAGCACGTCCTGACGATCAGGCCTGCCTACTTACCCAGAATGCAATTGCAGTCCGAGGGTCTGACTGGCAACCTAGGCAGTCCCCTTGGAGCCAATGTCAGTGATCATGTCACGTGATCATGTCACGTGATCTTGTTTGCAGCCAATGTCAGTGATCACTGTTACAATATTTATTGCACATTGTTCTCTGCTCCTCTCTTTTGTCTCTTTGTTCTGAGGTGAGAGAGGCAGAGAGATCACTGGTACCATGTCCCAAACTGTTAAAAACCAATGTTAATAGAAATTAAGACACTAACGGGTGCAGACGCAAGTAGACGAAGCTCTCGCAACTGGCACTGAACACACTTACATCCTTAGAACCTAATGGGAAAGAAGGCAAAGCCGACCTCCTGAAACCGCTACCTAAGCTAAAAATTGCACCGCAGCCAGATCCCCACGATTCCACCTCTGAGGAAGAACTCCTCGATGCACATGATGACATACCTCCTCAAGAGGGGGAAGACCTGACAGCCCCAGGCACTAAGGGGGATATCAAGGCTCTGATGAACAACAGCAGAGCCTTTTTCAATGCTGATCTCAACATAATCCGAGAGGATATGACAGGAGTAACAGCCGGAGTACAGACCAACGAGGACAACATCTCTTTCATAGCCCAAAAGCAGAGAGACACCAACGAGCTGATACAACAACTCCAGGCAGCCCACAAAGCCTTGCAGGTTAGACTGGATACTCTGGATGATGCTCGGAGGCACAATAACCTCAAAATCAGGGGTATTGCCGAATCCGTTACTAAGCACAAACTGCCCCACTTCCTCAAACACCTACTGGCTACTCTACTGCCACAATTTACTGTAAAGGCATTCAAGTTGATGGCTGCTTCCGGCTAGCTAAGTCAAACAGGGCACTGGCTGGCGTTCCCCGGGATGTCAGTATGCTTTCCACTGTTCCAAGACAAGATTGCACTACAAGACACAGTGAAAAATAAAGCACCACTCCCATTTGAAGAGATGTAACTTCAGTTCCTTCAGGACTTATGGTGCTCCATCCTGAAATGGAGATGGTCATTCCAACCAATTACAAAGACCCTATGCTCAGCAAACATCAACTACAAGTGGGGACCTTCACGGGAGCTGATGGTCAGCAGGGATGGCCGCACTCACCAGCTTTCCACTGCAGAGGAATCTATAATCTTCCTGCAGGGACTGAACATTATTTTACTTTCTCATGGCATGGCTCGCTCAGGACGCAGATGGGATGTCCACAAAATCGTTCCCTTCACCCCTCGTGCCGCCGCTGACACCATCTGAGAAAGGAGGAAACTCCAGCTTCCAGCGCAGTGCTGGACAGACCCTCTAACTGGTCCCAAATGTTGTTTTTGTATTTTTGCTCATTACCTTTTACGTTTTCAAGATTTAAGGTTACACTGTTGATTTTGGATGCCTGTACACCTCTTATGACCTGTCCCAATAATAGGACATTATAACTGCCAATCCACCCTCCAACTACCCAAACGCTCAGGGGTTATTGAGCGGCATGTATAGGTTAGTTACCCCGTTTGCCCTAAATCCTTACCACATATTACCCCTACAACCTAATTGCTGGTTCCCTACCTAGGACCCACAGGGCAGGGTCTTCCTTATACTCGCATGAGCACAGTAAAAGTTATTTAGCCCCTCATTAATTTGTTTGAATGAAAAACAAGTCCCTTGTCTTGAGCTCTTGAATTAAGTAGTTTGATTTCCTGGGAATTATTGGCCTAAACATAATATGGAGATCTAACATGACTTATGTCACACTTTATTTGAATTTTTTATTTGTGATTTCCTAGTTTGTAGGGATGTGCATGTGCACGGAAATTCGGGTAAGTAAAAAAATGAGTCTGCTTCAGCAGTTCGGACCAATGGCAATTGGTTCGTTTTGGCACTTCGGCAATTCAGACCCTAACCTTAAACCCTAACCCCTAAACTCTAACCCCTAACCACATGTTTTGCCACAGAAATCCGAAGTACTTCAAAATTCAGCAATTGGAAACCTAACCCTATATTCGGAAAATCCTTAGAAATTCGTCTGAATGTACATATTGCACATGTCTACTAGTGTGCCAGTGTAGCTAACTAGCCATGACTACCACTCCTACTCTCCTGTTCAATGACAGAATAAGCACAGACTTGCTTTATACCTTAAAAATGGGCATTGCAAACTAATGTCACATTATTGTTCCTGAGGTACTGCAAATACACCCTGTTGTGGCATTGTAGGCATGTTTGTATGTTCCTTACACAAGAAAAATTAAGAATTATAAAAAAATAAATATAACTTTTTTAAAATTAACCCTTTCAACTTGGAAAATAACATTTCCTTATGTCTCACACTTTTTAGATTTTATTCAAATTAAATGGTTTCGTATATAAATATGTAATGTGAAATAAAGGTCTATTACTTCTGAACAAAATGATATTTAATCAGTGAGGGTGCACTTAATATTAAAGAGGTATATTGTGGTTGAGCAAACATGTAGCTCAAATTCTAGGATCTGAACTTGCCTCTGTCCTTCAGGGGTTAAGTATACGGATAAATGGACCCTCCACTGCTAAAATAAAAAAGTACTGTTTTGTAGATATAACCCACTGTATTTATTGTTTATTTTATCATTGCTAAAACAGCTCTCAAAAGCTGCAGATCTCTTGTCTGCAGCTGTTACAAGCCATCATCTTCTTACCAATCCCAGACTTTCTGTGACTGTCCAATAAAGCTAAATTAGAAGTCTTTGCAAGGCAAGAATTTGCAATTTTGAATACTTGTTTCAAATAAGAATATTACCAATCTGTAAAATTGCAGAGACAATGTGCAAAACTATTGAGGGGGATGGAAGATCTTATATTGGAAGAAAGGCTATCAGAGCTGCATGTGTTTAATTTTACTTGGAAAAATATGAGTTTATTAACAGTGTGTAGAAATTCAGATAAATCATTGATATCCATTAAGACTTAAAAAAGTGACTTTGGCCACAACAAAGGAAGGGTTTCCTTGCAGTAAGAACAATAAAGATGTGAAATATTCTGACTGGAGACATTGTTTTATCAGAATTAGTAGATATATTATAAAAAAAAAAGGTCTGGAGGCAAAGCAGGATATCAATAGATAAGTCAGTTAATATGCATGATATAAACAGTTGATTCAAATGAAAATCTGATTGGGACTTTTGTTTGTTTTTGGCACAGTTGGATTTAAATTGAAGATTATGCTAGCTTTAGTGTACTAATAATCTTAATTTTAATAAGGACAGGAGGCGAGTATTTTGCATTAACTCTCTTTACTAAACTCCACAGCAGTAAAGAAAAACGTAAAGAGTAACAAATAAATCACTGAGCAGCATAGTATATATAAGGGTCATGCTGCCTGTACACTTCCTCTTTCTTAAAGCGACATCCAAGTCCAGATAGAGCTCAAACATCCAGAAACTCAACGAAACAGGAACTGCGGTCTCTGGCGAGCGGAACTTGAGGAGACTCCTGGTAACGAGATAGGAGGAAAGACCAAACGAAGCTGTCATCCCATCTTACGGAGTCATGAGGTTAACGAACCAGCGACCAGTGGAGGTCCTGAAGAGGGTTACACTGAAAGGAGAGTATAAAATCGGTTAGGTACTGAACCGTAACTGTTCACGCCTGTGGGCTTTAACAGAATGGTGTAAGTAAAACAGAACAGACAGACAGTAAGCTGGCCATAGGCTAAGTGTGTGTTAGGTGTAAGCATGTTGTACAACTAAACTGTCCGTCTAAGTGGAAACACCGGGATAGAGATGGAAGGGATACCGAATATATACAGAAGGTAGAGTAACTACTAACACGAATCCCAAAATCCATCACCTTAAGATCCACTCCCCCGAGGAGTCAGGGTAGGGAACAAAAGGGAGGGAAAATACTCGCCTCCTGTCCTTATTAAAATTAAGATTATTAGTACACTAAAGCTAGCATAATCTTCAATTTTATAACATGACAGGAGGCTTCCTATTTTGCAATTTTAACGCTGAAGAAGAGACATCCCAGCAGAAGGGGGAGTGCGAAAGTAAAATGTACGGAAAGTGGATTCCCTAGACCAGTCCGCCGTTCGGAGGATATCCGACAGGGACGCCCCTGCCAGGAAGGCTGATGACGCCGCCGCTCCGCGAACGGAGTGGGCGCCGAATGCGGGGTCTATACCTGCGAGGGAAAGGATCCAGCGGATCCATCGGGCCAAGGTGGTAACCGAGACTGGGGCGTGAGGGCGCACGTAGGAGACTAAGAGTTGGCCCGACGTAGAGGACCGGAGCGAGGAGGTAACCGAAACATACCTGCGGAGGGTGGACACGACACAAAGCTGCGGGTCGTCGGGAAAAAATGGGTAAAAGACCGAGGTCGAACCCGACTTAGTGCGACGGGAAATGTGAAACGTGACCCCTTCAGGGGCCACTTCGAAAGCGTCCACGTCGAAGGCCCGAACGTCCGAAACCCGTCGGAAAGATACGAGGCAGAGGAGGAAAGCGCACTTAGCGGATAGTTGGCGTAGGGAGAGGCGGTCATTCGGAAGCCAATCCCTGAAGAAGCGGAGAACCAGTCCCACATCCCATAGGTGAGGGTATCTGGGGGCCGGGGGACGGCGGAGCCGCATACCGCGGAGTAGACGGCAGACCAGAGGGTCTTTGCCGACCGGGAGATCCCCGACGGGGGTGTGAGCCGCCGAAATCGCGGAGCGCACGACGTTGACCGAACGGTAAGAGCGGCCAGATGAAAACAAGGAGGAGAGAAAATTAAGAATCATGGGAATAGGTGCTGTAAAGGGATCGGAGTCCCGTTCCATGCACCAAGTAGACCAGGAGGCCCAAGCTGAAAGGTAACAGCGTCTAGTTCCCGGGGCCCAGGAGTCCCATAAGAGGTCCCTAGCAGCCTGCGATAGTCCGCTGACTCGCCAGGAACCCCGGAAAGAGACCAAGCCACCAGAGGTAGCCGGTCTTCCAGGAGTAGTGGGTGGAGATGCCCTTTGGGATCCGTGAGCAGGTCCGGGAAGGATGGTAGGAGAAGAGGGTCCCTGTAGGAGGAGGCCAGGAGGTCCGGGAACCATGGTTGGCTCTGCCACAAGGGCGCTATGACAACCAGTTTGATCTGTTGCGTCCGTATCTGGTGTAGTGTTCTCGCAATCATGGAGAATGGGGGAAAAGCGTAGGCTCCTGTCGACGGCCATTGTTGGAGAAATGCGTCTGTCGCCTTGCTCTCCGGGTCCGGGAGCCAGCTGAAGAACTCCGGGGTCTGGTGATTGTTGCGAGAGGCAAACAGATCCAGGTGAAAGGGACCCCTCCGGGCTGCAAGGGCCCTGAAGATTCTCGTGTTTAGCTTCCAGTCGCTGACGTCTCTCCAGTGGCGAGAGAACCAGTCGGCTGTGAGATTGATTTCTCCTGGCAAGTATTCTGCCTGTAGCGTGATGTTGCGAGGGAGGCAATAGTCGAAAATGCCTCTCGTGATATCCGACAGCAGGCGAGAGCGAGCGCCTCCCAGGCGGTTGATGTACTGGACTGCGGATACATTGTCCATGCGCAGGAGGATGCAGCAGTTGGATCTTTCCCGGGCCAAGCTGCGAATCGCGAAGGATCCTGCCAGGAGTTCGAGGCAATTGATGTGCATGGAGAGCTCCTGCGCCGTCCATGTTCCCCCCGTGGAGATGGTTCCGTTGGTGGCACCCCATCCCCACAGGCTGGCGTCTGATTCCAGTACGAAGTCTGGGGCGTCTCCGAATATGGCCCTGCCGTTCCAGGCTTGCATGCTGTCCAGCCACCATGATAATTCCTCGCGAACCTCCATCGTCACCGGGACGGGTTGGTCGTAAGTAGGCCTGCGGCGTAGGTATTTCGCCTTGAGACGTTGCATGGCCCTGTAGTGGAGGGGACCCGGAAATATGGCCTGAATGGAAGCCGAGAGGAGTCCTACAATCCTGGCCAGATTGCGTAGTGGAATGGAATCGAGACGGAGAACCCTGCGAATCTCCTTGCGAATGGTTGTGATCTTTGAGGCTGGTAGCCTCAGAGTGCATGTCGTCGAGTCGATCTCGAAGCCGAGGAATTGTATCGTCTGGGTAGGGGTCAGTTCCGATTTCTGTTGGTTTACGATAAACCCCAAAGACTCCAGTAGGGACACTGCCAGGTGAGTGTGTTGGCGTAGTCTGTGTTCGTCGGCGCAGAAGATGAGGAGATCGTCTAAGTAGATGATGCATCGAATGCCCCTTGATCTTAGGTGGGCCACCACTGGTTTTAGGAGCTTGGTGAAGCACCATGGGG